TCCTTCTGATATTTAAGAGGCTGGCAATTGAACTTTCCCGGACGCAGAAGTCACGAGGCATCTCACCTCCAGACACTCATCTCAGCCCCCAGAATGATGACGCTTCAGAAACAAGATCGAAGAAGTCTGGACAAAGTGCTGAGGTGCTGCTTGAGAATGTTGCCACTCCAGGAGTGCGCGATAGCAAGGAAGATGATGAGGAGAAAATCCAGAATGAAGACTTTAATGTAGGAACTATTTTCTTTGTTTCTATGTAACTTTTTGCACTAGGATTGCAGTGGAAATGTAGGTCAACTTTTGAATTGTGAGTTAGGCTTATTATTGTCTGTACACTGTTGTGTACAGACAATAACATTGTCTGTACAATTATTTATTGTGTGTAAATAGGAGATAACACATGTGAGAAGTAGCAGTAAGAGGTGAGTTAGGGAGAGATGTTCTAGAACAGAGCTACCTGATCCGCAAGGAAAAGATTTCCCTGTTGCAGTTGCAACAAATGAAGAACTATATTTTTCCAGCTTTTATTGTGCTTTTGAGCCCTCAGAAAGTTCTCCATGATATTTTGACCTCTTTGAGAGGAGAGGGCTTCTGTTTAGAGCTTTTGGTAAATGCAATAAAGTGCAAACTGAAATACTGCCTTTTATAAAACCCTATTCCATTGTTCCTATAGCATGAACTCTCTGACGGTGACTTGGATGTAGATCTCGCTGGAGAAGATGAAGTAAACCACCTTGATGGTAGCAGCTCTTCAGCCAGTTCAACAGCGACTAGTAACACTGAAGAAAATGATATTGATGAAGAAACCATGTGAGTAACTTCAAAAAATGCTTTCCAGATCATCACCTTGTCTCCCAGGGAATAGTCACTGTACTGCAGTGGAAAATGACTCATGCTCTGTATCACAGTAATATTGGGGGGGGGATTTCAGGGCATGTGAGGGATGTTTCCTGTGCTGGTAACAACATGTAGTGATATGTTTAACACTAGGTGTTGAATTTTCAGGCAGCTAGTTTGTATCTTTTGATTTATTTAGTATTGTACTGTCACTGATGAGTGATACTGTGTGAAGGTTCTTTCCCAAAACACTGTTAAGAAGTCTGTTTCTACACTAGTTGGCATCTTAATAAAACAGAGCATTGGCACTGGAAAGTGGTGTAGAGTAGAAGGGTAATAGTAATGCCAATTAAGCAACTGAACCTGGAGAATTTGAACTTTGTGGCTAGATGATAATGTCAAATCCTAAGACCTTCCATGAAATATTAAAATAGCACATGCAACACAGGATCAGGTTTTATAGTCTAGGAATTATGGCACTTTGGCTTTCAATTACCAAGCCAATCATTTAATTAATGTTGTTTAACTTGTGTAGTTTAAAATGCAGAAAATACTATTTATAGCGCTTCATGTTTTCTTAAGATAAATGCCATCATGTTAAATGGGAGCTAATAACTGTATTCTCTATTTTTCGCCCCAACCATCTCCTCAGGTCTGGAGAAAATGATGTTGAATATAGCAATAACATGGAGTTGGAAGAAGGAGATCTCATGGAAGATGCTGCTGCAGCGGCGGCTGCCGCTACTCCTGGAGCATCAGGTATGAAGAAAGGTCTTCAGAAATCCTGTGTATGGGAAAGGCTGCTGGATTCCCTCCCCTTTTCTTGGAAGCGTCACCCGGCTGCGTGTTCTGCAGGCATTTCTATTTTTGGAAGTGCCGCATCATGTAGTGCGTCCTGGTAATTGCAGTGTGGTGGAAACATATTGATTCAACAAAAAAAGGGGGGGCTGGATCTTCTGGACGTGCTAGTTTAAAAATAGCACATAAGTTAAAAGTGAAGCTTCTCTGCTTCTTTGAAAGTCTTTCCATTCCGGTCAAAACTAGACTGAGACACAGTCCCTACTAACGTCTGTGTGGCCTCAGAGCGTGCGATGTATTTGCTTAGGTTTTAGTGCACCCTAAACCCTAAAGTTGCTGAAAGGAATGAGCTGTAGAATCATTRAAAGTCAAGTGGGAACAGATTTCAAAAGCAACAATGAACAGGTGCTCCCAAGATGTCTTCTAGTCTTGAGATGAGCCCAAATTGAGCTAGAGGTTAATCTCATCCTCCAGRTTATGAAGTGAGTTTTTTTTTCCACTCATGCCAAAGATAACAGTTCTCATCTCATTTGTGGTTATTTATGCTACTGTGGAAGTCTGCTAGTACTTGAAAGTCCCTTACCTGCCTTGCTTTTGGTTGACATTTCACAACTTAAATCACCTTGAAAATTCCTCTAGATTTCTAGATGGAAGCACACTGTTTAAAGAAGCTGCATGGTAGCTACAAACACACCATCTATTTAGATGATTTTTAAAGAGTAATTTTAAACTGTATTTTAAAAGCTAACCCAGTATTCTTAGTCACTTAAGAGAAGCTCTTTGCACTCACCTGCTTGCAGTGTTTTCTCATTGGAGTGTTAGCAGTGACACTGTGTTGGAAGGGAGCAGTACTAAGCTCTCTGATTTAATCTCTCAGATCTATTTTTTCTGAGGATTCTCTTGAAGTCTTTGCTACTGAGKAGCAGGAACACCATAGTACAGAGCAGAAGTTAACTGAAGGTCTCCTGTAAATCTAAGAAAAGTCAAAATGCTTATGTACATCTGTTCAGATAAATACTCCTAGTACAAAGGGATTTACATAAAAACAAAGTGAAATATTCTTTGGTTTTGTTCTGTGATGCTTTTTAGTCTAAGTGTTTAGTTAGAAGTGTACCTGATTCCTTTTAGGATCCTTTCAGAATCCATCAGTCCATGAAATAATATTGGTATTTTGTTAATTCTCTTGGAATGTTTTCATTCCTACTCTAGGTGAAGTACTCAGCTTTTTCCTTTTGACAGGATGCTGGAGGTTACTGCATCACCTGTTATGTACATGCAGGCTCTTTCTCCGTAACTCTTCYTTAGGTACCAGCCATGGCTACGCCAGCGCGAGTGGCAGATCTTCCAGGCGGGGAGGAAGTAGCCTGGGCTCGGCAGCCGGCAGCAGCTTATTAGATATAGATCCCTTAATTTTAATCCACTTGTTGGATTTAAAAGACCGAAATGGTATGGAAAACTTTTGGGGCCTTCAGCCACGTCCACCTGCTTCTCTTCTGCAGAGCAGAGGTAATTGCAAACGGTATTTGAAGTCTTTTTGTTTTCCTTTTTACAAAGGAAAAAGTGTGTGCATCCCTATGGCCAGGCTTGTGAACCTAACCTGTCTAGCAGTACCAGAGCTGATGTAAGAGTATTAGAAATTTTGCTTCTTTCAAAGAGCAAATTTTGGAGCCTTCTCCCATGGCAGGCAGAGAATGGAGATCTGCTCTTCCAGTGTCTCTGCAGGATCTGCCATCTAAGTACTGTGGTACTTTAAGCCATAATAGAACGGAACATGTGTCGCTATCTCCCATTTTTATAACAGCAAAGATAGGATTTTCTTATAGCTGTTAAACACAGAGGTGCAATTTTGAGATGAGTTTTACTTACTGGCTTTGTTGTTTAACTTTTCCTCTGGTAAAGCAACATCCTATTCCCTGAAAGACCGAGATCAGCGGAGACACCAGGCAATGTGGCGCGTGCCCCCTGACTTGAAGATGCTGAAGAGACTGAAAACTCAGATGGCCGAAGTCCGAAGCAAAATGTCTGATGTAAAAAACCAACTGTCAGAAGTAAGAAGCAGCAATGCTGGCACGTGTGATGGACAACCTGGCTTCTTCTCTGTTGAGCAGGGTGCTTTAGCTGCGTGTGGAGCAGAAAGCTGCAGCAAGTTACAAGAAATAGGAATGGAACTACTGACAAAGTCTTCAGTTACGAGTTGTTACATAAGGAATTGTAAGTGTGTAGTGAAGGGGGGATYTAAATGTCACTCTTACGGATGTCAGTTGTATAAATGGATTATATATCCAGGCATCTGGAAATAGACCTCTTGCTCACTTTCAGAATCAACCATAAGAATCTAGAAGTAAAAACCTTTGAATAAGTAAATGGCTTTTTTTGAAACTCATTTCAGCCTTTTGCAGCAGAAGCACCACGACTTTTGCTCTACAGCTAGTAGTCTCGTGTAGTGAGAATGTTTTGAAGCCCRAAACATTTAAACCAAAATTGAACCAATCCTAGCTGAAGGCCATTTCTCTTTTGACTGGCGCTATAGATACAGCTCATTTGCCAAGCTTAATGATGTTTGCTGGTGAAGAAAACTAAAGAACTGAAGACTTGCAGTATTTTAGTAACTTAGTCTTGTTAAAATTCAAGCAGGCCAAGGTTCTCTAAAACAATTTTTTTTTTCAAATCCAGCAAAGGCCTGCTTTGTTTTTCATCACTCTCATAAAACAGATTTCTTCTCTGGTGCATATTTAGAGGAAAAATAATTGCATATTTAAAGTTGGGAGCCTTGAGCCACCAGGAAGGATCAGGTCCCTTCATTGGACATGCTGGTTTTTGTGCTGTGCTAAATCCCKCATCCTGCGGTTATGAAGGCACTGGGCAGCCCCTGAGTCTGCACCAGAACTAGAGGAGAATACAGGGCTGTTCTGTAAAACCCTCCTTGCAGCTTAGATCTGCCCGCTTTATGGTGACGGCAGAACCTCGCTGTTCTGTTGCTGCTTCTCCATCCTTCCATCTGCAGGAGCTGGTGTAGCAGGATTGTGCTGCTTGGCCAGGAGTTAATTTGGGGAGCTGTGAACAGTGCAGGCGCTGTGCCCTCCACCCTTGCTGTTAAAGTCCTCTGCCAGGTTTCGTTGCTTTACGTTTAGGAGCTGAGGGATGGTGTCCTTTGTCTTTACTCTTTCATGCTGGAGTCTGAAGAGGAATAGTCCTGGCTCCAGTGGGTGGTTATTCAAAAGTCTTCTACCTGGTGTCTGCAATGCGTGTGTAACTGGCTRAAGCATCTCTTATTTAGTGTCCAAAAGAGAAAATAGTAGCTCATACAGCTTAACTTCCCTTTAAGCAAGCAGCAAGACGAAGTGGTGCAGCAGTCTGAACACTTGTTGCATCTTCCAATRTTTTTGCAGCTGCAAGTAAGAAAAGTAATTCCCCCAAGCCCCTTCGGCCTGGAGCGGCGGGTAGCCTGTCTCTGCGAAGAGCCATGGACTGCACGGACGGTGGCCTCCATTCCAAGGGAGATGCTCAAGCTGCTGAAGGTAAACAAGGTCCTCTGTGCACATGCTCTGCTGTGATGCATCGTCTTATCTGTACAAAGGCTTTTGGGAAGCTCCTGGCAACAGGCTGCAGTTTCCTGAAACTTGTCTGGGTCCTTTCTTTAGGGTAGTTGGCATTATTGCCCTCATGGAGATCTCTGGTAGTTAATTTATTGTACAGTGGTGCCATGCACTGAACTTGCAATAAAATGTAAGTGTTTCAGGAGCCCCATTTGTGGTAAGAAGGACAGACATGGGGTACTGACCCAGGCTTAAGCTGTGGTTTAACTTAAAGGGAATTTAAGAAAATTATATATGTAGCGAAAGGAYTGGATGATGTTGCTACTCCTGAGTTTTAGGTATTTAATTTCATTGCCACTCAAGGAAGCACCCCAAAATAGAGGAATTAGTGCTTTGCCTCTCTAAATTCAAGTGCTTGTTGCAAAGCTTAACTGGGGATATGCAGCAACTGGATGTTTAGTGCATGAAATCACCCTGACTGTGCTCTGAGCAGCTGCTTTGTGTTGCCGGCGGCGCAGGGAGCTCCAAGGCGAGCGGCAGGCACAGCTCTGCCCGGGCCCTGAGCAGCGGCTGCGCGTCCGAGGCGCTGCCCAAGCTCGAGGAAAGACCGGGTGAAGGTTCCGATTCCGACGTGGGAGTTTCTGGCTTAAATGGCTTGGCTGCTGCAGAGAAGACCAGGAAAGTTGGAGCTCTAGGGTAGGTGCTTGGGGTGTTTGTTTGTTTGTTTCTCTTATTTCCTCTTCCTTGTTTTCTCCTCCTCCACTTCCCTTGATCTTGAAAGAAAGCAACCAAGCTACTAAAGTCAGGTGCTTGCAGCAAGGAAGAGAAATTGCTTTGAAGTTTACTTGGTTGCTGTTCCCTCTGGATATCAATTTTTGGCTTTATAACTAGGTTACAAGTCCTTTATGTGCTGGGCTCTTTTTTTTCTTGATCAGCAGTGGATATAGTTTACCGCTTTGATTTGAAAGGCAGCCTTTACCTGTTTTGCTGCGATTCCTTACAAAATATTCTTTTATAAAAAGGCTATGAGTGACTTCCTCCTCCTTGATTTTTTTTTTTTTTTTTTTTTTTTTTNTTTTTTTTTTTTTTTTTTTTTTTTTTGGTGCTTATTTTTCACTTAACTCTATTTTTCACTAACTTAATGCTTCTGAATAGCTTATTTAGTCAACAGGCAGCTAAAGAGCAATGGGGTACTTGTTTTTTGAGTGTTTTGTTTTGTTTTTCCCTGAGTAGCAATTCTCACGGCTTTGGAAAATCCTCATCATAAACTTTTCCAGTCTTTTTTAAATCAGAGCTGGCTGTTTAAGTGAACATGCAAGAGACTTAAAATGAGTAAAACTAGATGTGTCCCTGAAAGGAGCTGTCTCCATAGCTGCAGTAAAGCTACATCTCCAATAAGCTTCTCTGTGTGTCTCCTAAATTCTCTCTGAAGATGCAGTTCCAAGGGGTGCCGTTCGGACGGAACGCAGGCAGCCAACTTGGAGAACGGCTCCGAAGCGGGTGAGGTGCAGGCCRTGCTCTCTGAAGGGGCTTCAGCTGCAGCCAGTGAAGGTAAATGAGCCTTGTAGCTGTTAAACAGTGTGCTGCAAGTCCCCAGCCTGCATCCTCCCCTTCTCTGATGGAAAAAGCCTGGTGGGGAAGGGGAGAAAAAAAGTTTCCCTGGCTGTTGAACTTTGTTGTGACATTTGGCAGCTGTAGTGTAATGAGGAGAGTCTCTCTGTCCCCYTGGTATCTGGAGAAGCGGTGGTGTTATGGTGCGGTAGGGAGGTGAAGACCTAGCAGATAGTATGGTAGRAGGCTGTGTCTCTTTGGACTGTTAGGTGTTTTTTCTGTTTATGTTGGGACTCCACACCTTTGCTTTACTGATCAGTTGCCTGGCATTGGAATTAACTTCTTTACTAAGTAAAGTAGTAATTGGTGACCTTGGCTTTTCTTAAACTTCCTGCCTATGGGCACAAACCACAGAGGTAACAACCTCCACTCCTGCACTGGAATCTGTCCTGTCTCATTTGTATCTGGCTTTGCAGCACATAAGCTGATTTCTTCAGAAACTTGGAGGAAACTTCCTCCTCCTCCCTTCCTGCATCCTTTACAGACTGGAAAAAAATGTTATTGCTTTTCTTTTTGAAAGTCTACGTAGAAGAGGTTTTTTTTTTTTTTCTTATCTTGCTGAAACTCTCCTGCCTCCCACCCCTGCACTAATTTGAATTTCAATGACTGAATTGTAGCGCAAAGCCTATATTAAGGTGCCAGCATCCATCTCTATCTGCAGTGTGCAGTATTGTGTAGGAGTTGGCATTTACAGAAGGTCTCTCAGTGACAAGACTGAATTTCTGCTCTTAGTCACTGCAGCGTGATCGTGATGTGCTCCTGCAGTTCTCCTGGTATGGCAGAGTCTAATAAGAAAATGTTTTAGAAACTGAAATGCTTCATTGTTAAAACCCTCAGGAAACAAATATTACAATTCTTTCCCTTCCAGAGAAGAAAAACTGCAGTAGAGTTGGTAGCTCCCTTGGCCATTTGCTTTGTTTCAGCAATGCCTGTCAGCTCTTAGGAAGTAAAAGAACAGGGCAAATCCCTTCAGTCACCCACCAAACTGTACAAGTGGGTGAATTTTGTCTGGTGTTGATACATGCTYGAGTTGCAACAAAACAAAAGGAGCTGCCTGGATTCACTACAGCTAGAGTTGCTTGCTGTAGGAAAAGCGTGTTCTGTTTAAGTGCAAGACTTAAGAGTATTGCAGCCTGAAGGACCTGGCAAGTGCATCTGCTTGAAGGGTCATATCCTCCATAGAGAGAGCTCTCCTTTAGCTTTACATCCTGCCCTACTTGTAGAGAGGGGCTGTGTRGCTGGCTGAGAAGTGCAGCTCAGGCAGCAGGAAACTGCAGAGCCAAGTTTGGCGCGGGTGCAACTGCTCCCCTTGAGCTGAGCTGTAAAGAAAAATTAGACTGAATGTTCTGCTGAATTCCTAGGTGCTCTGGTACGTTGAGCTCTAAATGTGCTCCTTCTCTCATGCCAGCTTCAGTATTTGATACTGCTAAGTCTTTAAGTGTGGAAAAAGCTGAGTGCTTGAGCTGCACAGATCTTGCTGCTGTAACTTTGGCTTTGTGGGTTTGTTTTGTTTTGTTTCTCTTGCAGCTGGGATATGTCAGAAGCACGTCCTTCATCTCCTGCCAGGGATGAGCAGCGATAGTGACATTGAATGTGACACAGAAAACGAAGAGCAGGAGGACACCACCTCCACCGTGGAGGGGTTTAACCATGCCTTCTCCGTGCAGTCCTCAAGTGAAGGTAGGTGAGCTGTGTGAGCACCTGTCCCCATGCCCTTCACGCTTGCCTCTGCTCCCATGAATATAGAACATTGCTGAGACCAAGATTGCTAGTGATTTTGTGTAGGTATTAAACTCAACCAAGAGCCAATGAGATTTGGAACTCTTCCCTTGGGGTTTTAATTAAAAATAGATCAAAACACGAGAGGGAACTCTTTCTAGCCTTGAGAAGTCAGTTTAGGACAATCTCCCAGAGGGAAATGGTGGAAAACCCACAGCTCTTGTTCTTCTGTCTTCTGAATTGGAGCTCCCTGTGTACCCAAATCTACGCTGCAAGTAGGCTAACGTCGGGGAGGTAGTCACCACCTCGGTTGCATCTTAATTGACAGGCATGTGCTTAGAGCAGTTTAATTTTAAAAACTCATTTGATGTTCCCTTTGAAAGGGTTTAACCTTTTGATGAAGTTAAAAGCCTGAAGGTGACAGCTGATGCTGGATGAAGTTAACTTTTGGCCTGAATAAGTGTCCCTGACTGCATTAGCATGATGGCCTAACAGCTCAAGTGATCTGTTCACTGTTCGGTGCTTGCTGCAGACACTAAACAAAAACTTCACAACTTGTCAGAAAAATCAGAACATCTGCTTGCCTAAGTGTCTTAATTTAAAAACCTTACAGCAGTCTAAGTTTAGAATCAAGCTTATCATGTTGTGCTTTGTTCTTATCATGCAGATCTGCAAGTAGGGCTTGCACATGATGGACCTTTAACTTGCTGTTGTTGGGATGTTGGCTGCTAGAGCTTCTTGCATTTTGTTCATTTGTTTTCAGCCTTAGAGCGGTGCTCAGTATTTCCAGAGGGTGATCAAGTAGGCTCTGAAGATCTCAGCTTTGTTACTGGAGAAGACAGCACCAGGTAACTCTAAATGTCTCTCTTAGCTAGGGTGGTTGTAACTGCAGAGATGGAAATTCCCTTCTTGCTCCTCAAGTATCTGAGAGGAGCCATTTACCTGGCTGGGAGGAGGCGGGGGGATCTGTGCACCGTGGCATGGGCCAATCTGCCCCCGGATCTGTAGCAGACAGGTGAGCGCCTGGCCTACATCTTTGGGGYTAGTATGCCTCAAGATCACTGAGTTTTCTGGTATTTTAAGGCACTTTGAAGAACTGCACAATGTGGAAGAAGACCTGGTTGAGGTTTGCATGCTCATGCAGTTGCTAATAGAAAACACTTGATTGAAGTAGCTGGCCTAAACCTTCTTCTGTGAGGGTTCTATCTACTTGAAGCCATTAAACTGTCCTAACATGAAGGGTTTCAACAAAAGCTGCCTTTCTTTGGAGCAGATAGAGAAGCGACTCGGTGCCTGAAGACGGGCCAGCTTGCCCTCCTGGGGAGAGGCACATTGTTCACTGGAGCTTAGACCAAGGCTGCTGCTGTTGGTTGTGTGCGCACTCCATGCTGTCAAGGACCATTGTGTAGTACTGCTGCCGTCGTCTTTAACCTGTCCCTGGGGAAAAGTGACCATTGAGCGCCTCACACTGAAGGCTGCCTTCCTGCTGACTCTGAAACATGTCCGCAAGGTGCTGCCGCCCTCTTCGCGGTGTCTGTCCTGTCCCCTCTTGGGCGGAACGGAAGGTGTGAATGTCCTCGCTGTAGCGCTCTGAGCCGGACCCCACCGCTGCGCCGCTTTGAGTCGGGGTAAGCGGTCGGTGCGAAAGCTGTTTCCCTCAGTCTGTAACGTGGACCAACTGAACACATTGCCAAACTTTTTGCCACTGTGCATTGCATCTTGAGCTGCTAAACTACTCGTTGAAGCTATGATGAAAGCTGAATAGCTGGTTACTGAAAAAGCATGAATAACTAATTGATAGTTGTCCYTGTCTCAGCTGGCTGTACTTAAGTTGGTTCTTTTTCTTTTTTTTATGAATGTTCCACAGTGTAAGTGCTGTACAACTCATAGTTTAAAACTGTTTGCACTTTGTTAATAAAATGAATGGTGAAAACAGTGATGTGAAATTTGATGTTCATTCGTTGTAAATAAGTAAAATGCTGGAGAACTTCTGTTGGGGTAAGTAATAGCAAGTCAAGCTTGTTAGGGGTCTAAACCAAATTCCTTGCTGAATGACAGTCAAATAGTAACGGAGGAGGAGCCCCAGCTTCTGCCCCTAACTTGGTTCTTTATGTAAGGAAGCTTTTTGGTCAAGTGTAAAGGTGCACATGGGTTCCAGCTGAGGCGTGAAGAGGGGTTGGGGCAAGCTGCACATCCATGATAGCAAASGGTGAGTGTTTACTGTTTCAGAGGCCTGTGTGTTGAGTATCAAACACAGCTCAATTAGCAGTAATGAGAGACCTGCCTCTTCACTACTCGCAGCTGCTTTACTCTTAATAGGAGGCCCAAGCTCAAGGAAATTAATTAGTCACAGTACTTGCTCCGAGGTTAGTGGCCAGCCTTGCAGGGACAAGCAGACATGCTTTCCTTCCCTCTGAACAAATTGTGCACAGCAGGTTTTTAAACACAGTGCAGGTAAACAGGCTTGGAAAGCTCATTTCRGACCAGTTCCCAGAGGAGTGACAAAGCCCTAGCAGCACCTTCCTCTTCTGCCGATTAAGCAGATCCTACAAGGGTTCCACTCTGTCTCTTTATTCCCCAGCTCTGTTGCTGAAGGAAGCAGCAATGAGTCCACAGGTAGCATCTAGCTCCATGCCCAAGTCACCTTTTCTGTTCCACATTAAGCCCAGGAAATCTGCTTTCACCACAGCAAGTCACTTCATACAGATGTTGGTTGCTATCACTTTTAGCTTATAAATAAACAGAATACCTGAAGTATTTTTTAAATTACTGTTTTATTAAGATATTGGTAAAACAACAGTTTTTCTGTATAAACAGCTTTCATAAATAAAATATGGATGACTAATACACGATTATAACTAAAGTCATATGTGAACTGTAGAACAAGGTTGCAAATGGAAAAGTCCCAACACTCTTAAATGATTAGCTTTAATTTATTCACTTCATAAAGAACGTTAGTTTCATCAACAAGATAATACAGGTATTTTAACAGGAGCACCCAGTGTAGCAACTGCCAACACCGCTGGCTCTCTACATAAGTACTCAGAAGTACTGAGGATCATCTCAGCCAACTTTCCCTAGTCTTGTTTCAAAGTATCTTCTAGAGTACAGGAAAGGAAACAAAAACAGCGTAACGATGCAATTATGATACACAGGAGTTGTACTAAACCCTCAGAGGTGGGAGGTTTTTTTCTTTAGTTCTAATGCTGGCAAGTATAGTGCGATATCTGCTTAACAGCGACTGAAAAAGGATAGGAACGTTGAAGTCAGAGGTTGTGTTATGCTTTGTTATTACTTATTGCACATGATACAAGGGCAGAAAGTTTTGTTCCTGGTGCAAGGAGGATATGAATTAAAGAAAGATTGCCCTAAATTACAGGCATGAACAAAGCTGCAGTATCCCCCCTTCAATGGCTTTGTCTGTGTGACTAGTGCTGAGTGAATAAATTGTGCTAAAACAGCCACTAATTTAGATCAATCTTTCTCCCTTTTTTCTAGCAGAACATTGCCAGGGTAGGGTGGACTTGGTGAAAGAGAGTGGCCCTGAACTACAGCAGTCCTGGCTCTAGACACGGGAATCTTCCTGCCTCATCCTCTGCCTGTAGGACGACGCGTTTGTCCGCGACGCACAGTGTTCCGCACACAGAGCGGAGTTGCTGTGACGATGCACCACTATAAATGTGGCATAAGTTAAASTCTGCTTAGACATTGTCCTTCAGCGTTACAATGCAACCTAACTGAAACACTGAATGGTTTGAACTTGCAAGGACAATTGATGGCACTTGTAGGTAAAGAAAAGTTATATACATGCGTTTCCACCCACCTTTAGTGCAAATTGAAATGGGTTAACAGCTCCCTGGTCTGGTGCTATACTGCTCTCTGCGACGCAGACATTCCTCAGAGTTGCAAATGTAAGAAGTGTACACAGGAAACGATCAGAGTGGGGATTGAACGAATCCCTCTTCTGCTCACAGTGAATAGCTTACGAGCGGGTCGGAGCAGCTTCAGACGAGCAGCCTGAAGTGTGTCTCTCAAAACCAACACACACAGAAAAGTTTTTACTACCTACCTCCTAGTTCTGCAAACACGTGTAACACGTTAAACTGAAACTGATGCGGGTTGTGTTAACTTGAAAAAGGGATACTTCAGCTCTTTATTGGAAAGATTTGTTGTACAAATTTCACCACCACTAAGATACACAATAAAATTACAAAACACAGGTCACAGACTGAATCTCAGTATCAACAATTAATAAATACAATTAGATACTTTTTTATTAGCCTAATATTTTTACATTGTCACCAGATAGACAATAAAAGTACAAGATACAGAACACTTAGATACCATTAGAGGGGTATTATTGCTTACGTTAGCAAGCAGCAAATAAGGGCACAGGATCTCAAACTGAAGAGAACTACTTCCTATCACCAGTGGCATTAAGAGAAAACACTGCATTTCACAAAGCACTGCTTTTTGTGTCTAGTGTGTAGAATCAAGAGCAGCATATATCAGACCAATAACCACTATTTTTAATAGTATAGAACTTTAAAGGACTTACCTTACAAATGGTTCCTATCTACTCTATAAATATGCATTTAGTGAAGAAATGAACACTTGCTATCTATACAGTATTTTACCTGACCACACTGGAACTATGATGGTATTTTTTTCTCCTAGCAAGATAATGTTATGAGTACCAGAATTATCATTTATGAACCCACACCTAAAAAGCTATATCCTTCCCTAAACAGCACATATGCGGTCCAGTGCTCTTCAGCTATTCCTGCAGACTGGGAAGAAGTTTATCATCCATAACATTTTTCATCCTTAATTGCTCACACGAAGAATTGCACTTACACCACCTTTCTTTCAGAAGCACGACTGTCAACTAGAAGATGGACTTTCAATGCATCRTTATTACTGTGAATAATTTAAAATAAAGGCACCGCAGAGATGCCCCAGAGTTGCATATTTTAGTGTTTCATGATTTCTCAGATTTCCTTAGTAACTCTGACTCGGAACACATGCTGCATCTAAAGAGAATGTTGACAACAGCTAAGGCTTAATAAGAAGACAAGTTATAGCCAATGATCCCAAAAAATCCCRAAAGATTTGAGAAAAAAAAAGTCTCAGAAAGATCAAAGGAATCTAAAACCACACTTCAACTCCTGGTTACTCACAAAGCCTTTTGCTATTCATCAAATTGCTTTTAAAATAGTGCATCAAAGATTAGAAGAAGCAAAAATTGGCAGAATTCAAACCTTGCCATCACTCATTATATTGAATAAACTCCTGACTACTTAATATTAAAATACTTCGCAAATTCTAGCTGCATACTAATACTGATATTAAATTGTTACTACTAAAATGATATGAATGATACAATAAATGCCTGCAAAGAACTATTTTATTCATACTCTTCCAAATGCCTTATTGCAACAAATCACAGTAAGGGGATGTGTCCTAGAGGAGCTAGGACCAGGAGCCCTGGCCTGTCTGACGGCAGTGACTTACGTTCCCGGTTGCTGCTCTTCGTGAGGTCGCCCGGCTGCAGCGTGGGGGTCCCGCGGGCACCCAGCTGCTCTCGTTAAGCTGCACTCTGCTCGCGGGTGCCGCGTTCCCCRCTCCTGCCTCTGCAGCCCGGGTTGCCTGAAGCAGAGCTCTGGCTCACCTGGGAGTTTTACCAAGCCCGACGCACCCAACGTGCAGCCCCTGCTCCTCTGCACCTGCCGTGCTCCCATTCACTCGGGATTGCTTTGGCGACCTTGCATCTATTTTTAGGCATTTTGGAAAAAGCCCAAATGCAGCAAGGATGCCCCTATAGAAAAAGCATCTTCCCCTCCTTGACGCTACAACTTTACTAAATTACGCCTTTGTCACCTGGAAATCTGTACCAAAACCCAACAGCTCTCCGAATTGCTCATTATCCCTAGCAAGCAGTTCTCCACTTGGACTGGTTTTGTGACAGTAGTGTTGAACTGGACATCTCCACATACTTGGTTTCTTTAAAGACCTGAGATGAAGTTACGGGGGGAAAGAGGTTGGCTTGAAGCACTGAGCACAATCATGTTAGATTGAAACTAATTGAAAACAGTTTTCTAAACTGACAAACAAGAAAAATGCCACTAAAAGCACCAGAGAGATACGAAATCCCTGTACACTGCACCTCTAGCCATAGGAAATAATCTTTTTTAAAAACTACAGAAAAAAAAAATCTTCATATTCCACAATTTGTTACATGAAAAAATAAGTAAATTATGAGTATGTACCTCAATCGGAGTCTGAGAACAGAGTAACAGGAGCTCAGTTTTTCCGTTCCTAAGTTACCTGGTAAAATCCTGTATGGCTTTTAGTCTTTTACCTGCAAAGTGGATATAATATTCAAATTCATCTTAATATTAGCCTGAAATAAACTGAAAATAATAATAATAAAAAAAAACACAACCTGAACTTCTGTGGAAACTTCCCCCCACTCTAAAAAAATTGGCTGTTCTAAAACAGAATCTTTCTTTAAATATTGCTCCATAGACTCAGGCAGGTTCTGCTTTCTGCATTTTTGAAGACCGTTCCCTACCGGCGTCTATTCACGCAAACCAACTGGTTGGCTTTCACTAGTGGATGTGACTAGATACTTATGTGTGCAGGTGGTTGGGTGGCTGTGGCATTGCTTACGGTGGCACCACCAGCAAGTTTTATTGAGATTGAAACAACTACATTTGTTAATTCCTAGGTCTATTTACATGATTGGAGCTTTGCGGGGGATTGTAACACACGCGGTTCTGAAATGCCCACCTTTTGTTCATTTCCTGCTGATGCCAGTTCTATTTTGGGAATGTCTGGTTTAGGTATCTAAGGGGGGACACAAGGGAGACGGTTAAATTTGACAGCATTGATGTAGGTATGACTCTGGTATACAATTACTTTGTTTTCGCATCAAAAACTCGCTCTCCCTGTACGCGTTATGACTAACCAGCCTCCACCACGGGGAGTGTCTTACCAACAACCTCGTGCTACTGCGGCCTCGGACAGGCAAGGACAGGCTGGATCCTTCTATGCGGGAAGGCTCATGAGCCAAGAGTGGCACGCGAAACTTTGGTTTGAACCTGGCTCCTCGTCGCCTCTTCCCGTTACAGAAACGCAGGTGTGGAGATGCAGATGCTCGTTTTCCCAAGGATTTGAACTGTTCATCTTCCAGCCCCCAGAGACTGGGGGAGAAACTCTCCACCTTGTAGATGTTTTGCCCTGCAGAATCCAAACTAAGAGGAGTGCTGTACTGCCCCCGGTCACTTTGTCCATAGGCTGATGATGTGGTGCTCTCTGGTGACTTGTTCTTCACTGTTAGACCATTATTCGGATTCACACTCTTTGGTATGCCAGAACTAAACACTTGAATTGGTGGCAAATATTTGGCACTCTTGGGTTCACTTGCTTCTGTGTTTGTCAGGTCTAAATAGGCTTGATCATCAATCGGGTTAATACTGGATCCTATGCTTAGGCTAGTTCTATCAGTAAAGGAATCCACTCGTCCTTCATACCCTAGATCTGCAGGTGCTGAGCACTGGTGTTGGGGCCAGGGCCGTTTGCAGTCTCCATGGTTTTCCTTATCTTCCCCACTGTCTTCTTGWCCACCTTGAAAAGAATTCTCTGTCCAGTCCGACTCCTCACTAACATTGACTGCTGCATTCATGTCCCTGAGAAATACCACAATGACAGTAATGTTGTCGCTGGAACCAGCGTCCCGAGCAGATGCCACTAATTTATGTGCTACCATGCTGCTGTCCCCATTATTCTCCTTTAGATGGTCAGCGACCACTTTCACCGCCTCATCCGGATTGACTGTGTCATAGAAGCCATCACAGGCTAAAATGAGGTAGTCTTCAGAGCCATCTAGCACAGTGGAGGCAGAGTCTGCATCCCCACAGATATATGGCTTGTGCTCAGCATCCCCTGGCAAAGACAGAACACAAAGATATGCAAGACTTTGGCTTTGAAGTTGCAACATCTGGGAGCCCTTTTATTAGTAAAGCAGGAAGCCACTTCCCCAGGGCAAAGACATTATTTGGAGCAGCCCCTCCAAAAGGAGCAAAAAGATAGAGGTCATGGTTCAGCATTCCATTGACAGCTGTATTTCAATTTTTAATCATAGAAAGTGAATGTTTCAAGTAAAAGAACAAACAACAATGAGGAAAGAATTAAAGCTTGTCCTTACCAATAGCTCTGGAGACTGACAGGCTCCCATTCACCCTCCAGGCTCCAAACCAGACCACGCAGCCACCAAGTGCCTCAATGCGCTTCTTCTCATCCTGAACAGCAAGACAGTACAAGAATTGTTCAGACAGACTGTTTAGTGCTGGCATCATGCTCTGAACACTTAAATAGTTGGGGTTTACACAACACAGCATCATGGGGGCTGCAAGCTCCATCAAATGAGAAAAGTCATTTGCACACAAATTCATGATCCAATTCAAGATCATTTGATCTGACCCAACCAGAATAATTAGAGCATGCTCAGCCACTCCAAGGGACAAGGACAAGCCAAGGCTCAGTGTCCAAGAGCCCGGTAGAAAGCTGACACTAGTCAACTTCAGTGGTAAATGGTACCCAGGTGTAGCCAAAACAAGCCATTCTCACCTCTCTATCTGGTTTGTGGGGTTTCATCAGCTCCACAGCTTGACCTCTCCTCACCAGCATAACCTGGGAGTCCCCAAGCCATGCCACGTGTAACATATTTCCTCGGATGAAAGTCACCACCCCAGTGGTTCCACAGCGCAGACTCTGGAGGAGAGGGAGGGAGGAACACCTACAGTTTTAAATAAGCAAATAACTGTTCTAAAGTGTTTTCCTACTCAATCCAAGATCAAAATGTGCTGACATGCAGGCTGTATATATATGCAGGCTGTCCAGGTGGCAGACAGGCAGCATTTTTCTTACAGTTATGACTGTTCAGCAACTCAGCACTAGCCTCACTAACTGCAAGTCATTGATTTTGTCCTGTAATTTCCTTTGAACTGGAATCACATTTTCAGATGCTGGGCTGTGCTCATGAGCTGCTGTACTATTGCTTTAGTTGGTTTTTACAATTTACAAATTAATATTTTTGAGGTCAAGCCCACTTCCCTTCTTCCCCAGAGAGCTCATTCACCTCTCTGGCTGCCTTCTGGACGAAGCGCTCGTCCGTCACCCGGAAGGCTCGGCACAGGGCCTCCGCCGGGTCGTGCTGAAACATCTCCTGATGCACCAGGTTCACGTGGAGATGGATGGAAGCGTAGATGGCAGCATCCACTCCCCCATGACCRTCAAATACTGCAAAGTAAGCTTGCTCTTCTTGGTCCTGTCAAAGGAAATACGTTGAGAAAATAACAAGTTAGAAAGCTATATAAGTAATTAGTTGAATTATCTTTAAAATTTTTGAACTTGAGATTTCTAGTGTCCTCTGTGGATGTTCTGTATGTAATATTAAACTGCACTTAARACCAGAATCTCCCCTGGGAAAACAAACTACTCAGGCCACCTTTGCTTGCATCGAAGGGAGACATGCACACAAATTCCCACTTTCCTGCAGATGAATTCCACCTGCAAACTACAACAGATGCCTGCAAGAATTACCCGTGTAGTTCTCTCAACGTTCCCTATGTCCTATTTGTTAAACTTCCATTACTCAGCTCAAATAGAAAGTGCCATTCCCATCAAACTGTGCAGCATTTTTTGTGACATCCAATACAGTTTGCCTGAAGTCTACACCAAGCTTGGAATCTCCTACTCATAAAATACTAGTACAGTTAAAATGTGAAATCAGCTACTCTTTGTTTTCATTCTTTTAAAAATCTAATCCATATCATCTTAGATATCTATTTTTAAAATACCTCTATGTATCCTCTCCGCAGATCTCAGCAGATAATTAAATGTGATTACATTCACAAATCAAGTACAGCAAAATCACTCATCTTTGATTTAATTTTCTCAGCTTCCCCTTAACTGTTCAAACAGAGAAACAATACTCCAGCACCAAGAGACATAACTTCAGTGCCTATTCATACATACAACACACCAACCCTCTGTCAGTGCCAATTCAACCTTGACAGCCATCTCAATGACTAGAATATTTATACATTGTAATTTCTAAGTAATGGGCTCCAATACAAATTGGAATGAAGAGAGGTGACAATTGACAGGCAAAGGAAACATCTGCCTCTTTGCATTAATGTAGTTTAAAGGCAAGAATTTGGATAGGGCACATAAAATGGTTATTAAACTAGCAGGATGTAATAAAGAATCAATTAGATAATGATCTGATCCCAGTGGTAACATGCCTGCTCTTTTCTTCTGTTTGTTATTTCTCAGTGTCCACAGTTTTATTCCTGAAGGAAGAGCAAGCATGAGTGAGCAATGGTTGTATAGAGAAAGTAACAGAGCTAAGTCAGGCCCTCATTCCACCAGACTTCTAGTGCTGCCAGATACTCATATAACCTGAACAGTCTTTTTTTTTTTTTTTTTTCCCCCTCCCTTTCCTTATTCTTGTTTTGACTTCTTCCTCTCAACAAAAGGGGCAGAAAAGCAGTACAAACCCACTCCTGCAGGCAGCTGGCAGTAATGATGAACTGTCAGCTGAACCACTTCCTCATTTCCATCGGCAACTCCCTTCTACAGCTGGACGTTTCAGGCACACTGAGGATCCTACCTTGCTTTATCACGTGATAACATAATGCATCAGTTGCCTTTCCCTAAAGTAGGGCTTTACTTGCTGTAGGATAGCAACACATCAGTTCTTCAGTCACTGCGTTARGTGCGTACATCAGGATGGGGCAGCTGCAAACTTTGTTTAGCTAGATGGCATATCATCAGACATCTATCCTATACAACCTACATAAAAACTGCATGCTATATTGCGCCCATAGTCAGAGAATGTCAGCTGAACTAACTTAAAACCAGGTTTGTCTCCTGACAGACAGTCCTTCTTAGACCTATCGCAGGTACAGTTGTCATTTTCATGCAAAAAGAAAGTCTATCTTGCCAGAGAACAGAAACTGCATTCAGCATATGCATTTATCTTCCATAAAAACTCTTTTTACCTCRAGGTTGAAGAGCATGTTGAAGTCTGGAATGCAGACGTGCTTGTCTTCCATCTTCCTGCGCATGTTTTTGATGGCATGGATGGATGTCTCATAGTAGCGGTGGGACTTCCATTGGAGTGGAAAGTCTTTCACCCAGTTACTGCAGATCTCATGGAGTTTGCTGAAAACTAAGCGTGCTAGCTTCACTGTCTCAATCTCTGGGGAGGACAAGAAAACACAAATAAAAGGCTAAGAGTACCATTAATTGAGATTTTTTCTCTTRCATACATTATAAAGATAAAACAAAACCATTTTAGCCAAACAATTGAGCGGGTTGTCAGCAGGGAAATTCCAAATTCTGAAGCATGAGAAGAGGAGGACAAACTCACCACAAACTGCATTCATCAGTGAGCAGCTCATTGTCACTTTAACTCAAGTATTCTCCCTGTGCCTTTGGGGAACTCATTTGCAGCATCAGAAACAAAAGGAAAGTAAGTATGTTACCCTCAGTGTTTGATCCCCAGGATAGCTCCACACCAGCTGGGGCAGCCAGACCACAAAGGCTCTGAGAAGGACTTCATCATGGAATACTGTATCACACACAAAATGCACACGGAAACAATAACCCTTTACAATGAAGTAATGGTTTTTAGACCAGTCTACCTGTTCACAACACTGCAAACATCTCACTGAAAAACTGAAGTAAGAAACTGGCAAATAAGCTACTCAAATTAATAGCGTTACTCTGAAAGCGTTCCAGCAACCTCTGCATTCTGAGTGTGCATTTTGAGGTACCTTCTAAGTTTTGCGCATTTATTTCCAGATTCCTGAAGTGACTGAGTGTCAAAGAAATCCGAATGAGCAGATGAGAAATCTATAGAGGTCTTRATTAAGTTTAAGGAAATTCTGAACCATCACTCTTGAAAAACAATAATTTTAAAATGTGAAAACTCAGGCACTTGACAATCACTCTCAAGTTTAAGGATTGGAAAGACAAAGTAAACATCAGAGAACAGAACACCTCTRAATCTGTTTTTCATCGCCATCAACCAAAGGTTGAGATTTCCCATAGCAGTAATCACTGAATGTCAGTCATTCCTGAAGGATAAATGGCTCAAACCTAGGAAGTAGAAGAGATGGTGAGGAGTCCTGTCAATTTACAGAATTTCTGTGGCATTTACTAGTTTCACTAATAGGTCTGCACAAGATGAAGATGTAGAATATAATGATCAGAAAACCAAGATCCCTAGGAATAGGTATTATCAGCAGAGCTGATAAGTGGTTCAAGCCTGGTCTGAAAGATGAGCCATTAAGCATGAAAAAGATACATGTACAATTAAAAGAAGTTCTAGCTTCTTAATCATACAGCTTTAAGAACAAGTGCTGGAAATTGGATAATTGGGTCATGTAACTAGCAGCACAGTGAGGTGAACCAATTCTCCTGCAATGCCTTTACTGCTCCTAGTAGTGGCAACAGAAATCTCTCTGCCAGATAATATATTTAAGGAGATAAAATATACAGCCTGAAATAACCAAATTATATTTTCCAGAAGGGAACTCCACAGAATTCCTCCTCCATTTTTTCTAAGAAGCATATTTAACAGGAAAAGGCATTCTAATAAGMATATTGCAAAGGAAAAGGCATACATGTCATGTGGCTGTTACAATTCAGAGCGTCACTCTGAAGGAAGAATGAAGTGAACCCATTCGCCGTGCTGAGATACTAAATAACCTTCCCCTGCGGGGAATATGCGTAGTGTCAGCATCATCAATAATTGTTGCTCAAGATTAAAACAGGAGAAAGGCCCACAACAGTCAAACCACCCCCTCACAGCTGTAAATTACTCATCAATCGTTAATGCTGCAGCACTGAGCCAGAGCTGAGTCAGCTGTCACTGTGGTTGTGTCATGGAGAATTTCATTTCCCTCCTGCTGTTCCTTCAGTGCTGCTCTAAAATCCCCAGCACTGGAAGTAATGCTTAATTGTGCCACAGCTAGTGGGCAATCCAGCTTAGGCAGTATTGTTGCTAAAGATGGTTGACTTCTTCTAGAGCAAAACCGGTATGGGGAGGATACCAGTAACTGACTGGATATTTTAGACATCTCCAGCAAAGAACTCGGTCCACCCTCCTCCAAAGAACGTCTGCAGTGCTGAGCCCCCAGCTGAACAACTTCTTCGACCAAGAAGAAAACACCTTTAACTCCTAACCTGGCCTTTCAAAAAGGAAATCAAAAGGCTTTCAGTTATTTTTGAAGCTTCTACTTCGACATGCTGTGGCTGGTGTCCCATATTTTTAGCTACTCTAGTTTGTATGCATATCAGTCTATGCTTGCTTCCTTGTATTACAAATTTAATGGAAATTTCTGAAGGTTTTCTTTTCTTTTCCTCCCTTTTTTTTTTTTTGAACTCATTAAATATTCTGCATGGAGGCTTAGTCAACATTTCCTTGGAGACTGTCAAATATTTATGTAAGTCTCAAAGATCTCAATTTGAAATTAATGAAGGCTGCTCAGCCAGAACAATGACAAATCTATTCTGTTTACCTGCTCAGCAGGAGGAGGCAGCAATACATACTGAAAGGGAGCCCATAGCATGTTCTGCTTTCTCTCAAGTTTACAAARACCTCTCAGAAAATACACCAGAATCTTCTTTTACTTATTTCTAGATTTTTTTTCCCCAACTAAGAAGAATCAGTGCTTTGGTGATTATGTATTTTCCAGATAGATTGACAGAATTCATGTAAATATATTCAAGGAATATTGCTGTCCGTCATAATGAGCATCCCAAAGATTTGCAATGCTGTTTGGTCAGCAGAATCCAGCAGAAATGATTTAGCCAAGAGAAATGAATGGAGAAAATTTCCTTTTAAGCACAAAACATCTTCATAAGGGATAACATTGTCGCCACTGATACTATTAAAAGGATTAAAAGCCCCGATAAAAACTCTTATGACTGAAATTATTCAGAATTTAATTCTCTCTTGCCATCTATATTTGTCCTTGCTCTGAGGATGAAGGAGGACAACTGGTGTTTGTGGTCCTGCTGCTTGCTGGCATAGTTTCAAGTCCTTATAAAGAAAATCAGGGTCATCAGATACAGCCCTAGGCCTTATGAAGATGTACTTAAAAGTAAAGAGCTACTTTCATCTAGTCTTAAGGAACAGAACTCAACAAAAAGACTTGAGAATAACATCCAAAAAAGCAAATTATAAAAAAAACTATGAAACAGAATTCCATGGTAAAAGCTGGAACTAAACAAATTAAGAATCAAAAATTAGAAAGCTTTGACTTAGAAAGAAATTAGCCACTAGATTCATCTAGATTAGTGGTGAATTTTCCAAAGATCTTTTTAGACTACAACAGGACATTCAATTACAAAAGGAGCCAGTTGAACCACATAACTAGCTGGTAGCAGAAACTAATTTGGAAACAATCTAGTATTCAAAGGGTCAGAATAGATGGATCTCTGTAGTCACTTTTGACCTTTAAATCTATGAATTCTCTGCAAAAAAAAAAAAWAWAWATATATATATATAYAYCATATTGTCTGGTATAGAGTGTAAATGAAGGATCCACATCACACAAAGTGGTATCTTACTATGCAGAGGTACTTACGTATGATCCCATCAGCGTTGTCCACATGCTTTGGTAAGTAATGTACAGATAGATCACTCTGAAGGACTTCATCTGCGGTTGCTCTAGCTAAAGCAGCAGCCAAAAATGAAGGACAATTACTGGAAAAAAAAAAGAAAACAATGAGAAAAACATTAGAAGGTATTTTCATCTGATTTCTTCTGATTTAAGAAGGCAACTTACAGTSAAGGTAATACATAACAACACTTTTCTGGAAATAAACTTGAATATGAATTTTGTCCAAGATTTGCAAAACTTTGAATCTTATTTGTTAGATAATACTGCAGTTCTGCATACAGGACCTTCTCAGAATTAACACATGGTAGCCTCACTTCTTTTTTTTTTTTTTTTCCCCGTCTCTTGGGTTATAATGCTCCATTTCATATCCTTTCTGTGCTTTTTAAAACCAAGACTTGAACACACTTTGAGAGCTTATCATGCAATACTTGCTTAGCAAATATTTTCTTTGTGTAAACTTATCTCAAATCTGTTTTGTCCAGTTTCTTATGTTTTTCTTCAGAAACCTSATTCAAAAATTTAGGGCTAGAGAAACCCTTGCTTTTCAAAATTTCTGAACCTTACCAAGGAACACTGAGGAAAGTTAAAGCAAATCCATGGAGGTACAAAGGTTTAACTTGATGCACATGGAGGTGCACCTCCATGTGCATCAAGTTAAAACTGAATTAAGCTCCCTTGTGAATGATCTCTTTCAAAGTAAAGTGGCTTTAACACAGTGTAGATTAATTAAGCTTGGTATATCCCAAGGTTAATTAATCTATAGCAAACCAAGGCCACTTTATATGTATATATTCTCATTCAAGAGAAGCTTAATATCCTTTAATTTGTGCACAGCTTCATATTTCCTGTTGGTCTACTTTAACTTTTCCAGGTGTCCCTTGCTGACATAGCCTGAAACTTCCAGTTCTGTGGTTAACATTGAGGTTACCAAGGCACCTCCAACCAGACCCAGAATGGGTGCACATCTCTGCACAAAACCACCCTGTCAGACTTCATACTGGAGCCCGCGAARTATGTGGTGAGAGTCGCTTGTATTCACATTTGGTAGGCTTCCCAGGAAAGATAACTGCAGTCCTAGGTTGACCCATGCACTGTCACTTCAGCAGCAAAAACTGAATTCCAGAAAAAAACTTCAATTAGATTTACAGTACTCAGTGTTTTATTGAAAAGGCCATCTTGCCACGATGTTTTCCAGATACTTCATAACAAATGTTGTTACAAACAATAGGGTTATACAACCAATTTAGAAAATGTACATAAAACAGGTCTTCCAACCCTCATTATTTACTCCTCAGTATATCTGCGAATTACTTAAACCTGGCAATGGGAATAAATACATGATCATGAGACAAGTTCTGACCCTTGCAGTTATGCAGAAAGGCACTGGTTCTGCTAGTGCACCCTCAGGAGGAGTATTTCCTAGGGTGAGCAGCTGAGCTTTGACTCCCGTGGCGCCTGCGGGCCCCGGTGTCGCGCGCTAACGAGGCACCGCTCGTGCGGATATCGGCTCTTAGCACCAGCTCTTCCAGCACAACAGGAGAACTCTGATCCTATTGACATACAGCAATACTTGGTGGTAAGAGCAATGAGTAAGAATACTTGGTGGTAAGAGCAATGAGTAAGAATGAAAAACACGGGGCCCTCCTTTACTTGTAGTGCATGTGGAAGGTGATTTCCCATCTAGTCTTCTGTGCCCTGATTTAGCTCACAAAGAACAGGTTTTTCCTTTCTATTATTAGCTCCAGTGCTGCAAAGCAGTGATGCTGGTTACTGTTCATATTACATATGGTTTCTGTGCTACAACAAAAGCAAGAGGTTGTTATACCTGGAATATAATAATTATGTCAACCGAGCTAGCAACTCTCTAAGCGTTGCATTCTGAAGAAATGCATAGAGTATTTGTTAATGTCCAGCCTATCAGGCAAAGCAGACACCTAAGAGTTAAGTCAAAACAGTAGTTACAGAGCAGAAACAGGACCTAAAAGACACAGGAAAATATTCCCCTGCACTGGGAGCCTCTGTTCCTAGGGGCAGCAAGGCCTTATCTATGAAAACAAGGCACGCCCTGTCATGAGCATTCACATCGGAAATTTTAGCTTTTTCTGTTTTAACTTTAGTGACAGATCAGAAAACTGGAAGGTGCATTTACAGGGTAGGAAGCCAGCCAGAGCATTTCCCCAGTCAGCCAATGCTATTGACACGTCCCTACAGACTACTTAGGTGATGCTAGCAGTTTTGCACAGGAGCTCTTTATCTAACCAAAGCATATATTTCCATTACAATACCGAACCTACACAAAAAGCCACTAAAGATGTGATTAGATAAATTAGAGGGTTTTAAGTATATCCTTCCTGATTCTTTGGCAGTGTGGGTGTGTTTTGAACACCCACGGTTGCAACGCAGCAATCCTGGGATAACTCGGCTAAGGTAATAAATCAAGCGTAGAAGTGGGCAGTTTCCATCAATTATGGTTGAGGGGAAAAAAAAGTCTGAAGTGGGCTTAACTCAGCCCACATATTATTATGTTACCAGCTTAACACACATCTCTTCACTTGCTGATAGAATTAGAGTGGTAAAGACTTTCCAAACATTTTCTCTGAGCTATTCCTTTGTTTTCTAWATTCAATATAGGATTTCCCACTAAAAACAAAAAGAGAAGACAGCTTTAAAATTCTCATTGGATGGAAGTTCATTGTGGGGATTTCAGTGAGTTGCCAGTTTTGATGGAAAAGACAGAGAAAATAAATCAGATGGAGGTTTTCCTTTTATGTCTGGCTATTCTTTGTCCTAATAATAACAGCTGCCTGCCAAAGAATTAATTGCCCTTGACATTTGTTCATCACAAAGCTTCTTACGCAGCCTTTACAGGACTGTGCAATGTAAGCAGTGAAGTGACCAGTTGCAGACAGGCGACTTCCTCTTCCTGATTAGCATAACCCAAAATCCATTTCTCTTGCTTCTCCCCTGGGAGGACTTTAGTTCAATTACTTCTACCTTTCAATAACAAGGCTGCACAGGAGTTTATCGCTTCTTTTAAAGTGGATTAGATTATGAAGTCAAACTGCTGCCAGGGCACTCACTTCATTTTTGTGATACCGAGGGGAAAGAAGACTCGGGTCCAGTCGCTTTGTTTTTATCCCAAACATGAGCATTCAGGTGAGAACCCACAGCACCCTGTGAAACAATAGAGAGCCACGCTCAAAGGCTAAAATATTTTTGTAYGAGCCGTTCTCAACTGTCCTCATCATCTTCTACAACAAACGAAGAAGTGACAGACAGATTTGCAAGGCCATAGGAGGTGTGTGCTGTTCTGCAGCTGGCAGAAGTAAGGATAACCTGTTTGCTGGCAGAAAATAAATCCTTCTGCCACACTCTAGAAGTTGTTAGTCATTAAGTTATGACAAATAGATATTGGGAGGGCATGATCTTGTTTAGCAGAATGCTGAGAGCTAGAAYGCTAGAAAGTCTATTCATAGCCACGCCACTAATTCAGCAGTTGACCTTGGACAAATCACTTCAGTGCTCAGTCCTTCAATTCCTCATCTACAAACAAGGGATCATAATGTCATTTCCTGGGGAAGAAGGAGAAGGGCTATGGGAGGCTTAATTCAATGTTCACAAGATACTTTAAGATTTCTAGATAAGAGCATAACCAAAGAGCAAAATAGAAGGACAGCAGCAGATGGTTTCAGTCTATACCTGCGTTATGGAGCATTCATACTCTTTCCTTGCTCCATCTTGTCTGTTCTCACCTGATTCCAGACTCCAAGTGGAACACAAGGCAGACAAGAGCTCTAGACAGGCAGATCTCATYGGACACATGCAGCTTATGTACGTCATAACAACTGCTTGAAGTAAACATATTTTTAGAAAAGTTAAAGCTTCTCAAAAGGGAATAAAGATGAGAGATCAAGTTCTTAAAATTCAGCAACGCGTGTGTTCTTGGAGCACTACAGCACCACTGCTGATTAAAAGTCTAGAAAAATGATGATACTGGCCCATTACTGCCCCTGGCAAAAACACACAATTAAGTGTTAKCGATGGTAAGCAGACTTACACTACCCCAGTTCAGTGTAATCGATGTGGCRTCACCAACTCAAAAATATAACATCACAATCAGAATATCACAAAACACATAATGTTCCTATTATCTCAAGAGTCCCCTAACTACCAAACATGGTTGTTTTAGTTAGAAAGAAACATGATTTGAATAGAAATGCTGTTCAGGCTTCTAAAATATAAAACAAATCCACATGAAAACATTATAAAGCACTGCATATAATCAAATACAAGAATATTAGAGCAAAAATAAGACCTAAAAGCAGCTAGTGCAGTCCCAAAAGAGCTATAATTTACTATGTTAGTAAAAGGCTTTACAGAGATGACAAGGTAACTGCAGCCTTCCAGAACACATCGCACTACTGATGCAGTTTGATGAACACTCCTGTGTTAACGTGACCTGCTGCTTTTCAGAGAACAAGTTCTGTAAGAATTCAATAAAAAGAAATAATGCTCATTTGTCCCCAGCCTGTACACCAAGGCCTCATAAGTTGTTTTCCAGATAGAAATTCTATACCACAGCCTAGAAGCTCTTTAAATGAGTCTTGAAACTCTGCATCATTAAAAGATCCTGTGTGCTGAACTGTAACAACAAGGAGCAAGGAAATTATTTGGGCAGATCCTTTTGTGTTTGGTTGGCCCTCTTTTCAGCTGCCTTGTGTTTCTGTGGCCATCCAGGAGGACAGGACACCAACTAAGGATCTTCTGTTTCTCTTACTTCTGTAAATCAGGTAGGATTCAGAGGAGAAGACACAAAAGAATATTTTATTTAGCAGACCTTACACACTGAATCAATTACTTCTGCATCCTCTAATTATGCCAAGAAAATGCTCTTTCCAGCTCGTATCGCTGCAGGTTGCCCTCTCCTTACTGACAAAGCGCAGCTCTCCTGTGTGCACATCAGTCGGCTCTCACCTACGCTGTTCTGTCACGTCTCACAGCTGGTGAAAATTTTGATGTTATTTAAAGGCTGACCATGGAGGACAAATGGAGTGTGGCTTTCCTGACCTGTGGTGAC